TCGGAAAGAAACCTACGTCGCCGGGCGACAACTAAAATTCAGTTAATATTTTATTATAATCGATCCTGACAAATAAATGAATTTCATAAATGAATGGTTTTTGCTACCGAATTACTAGAATACAATATTTTAAGGCAGATGACGGATCTATTCCATAATTTTTATTCGAATAGTTTTCAACGAATGTTTTCTTACTAACTATCGAATTATTCGAATGAATTGCAACTATCGAATGTTTCGATAGTATTCATTCGATAGTTCCCACTACTAACGACGACGCACTGCCAAGCATCCGACTCGGACGTCCGATGCGATATCGGATCGTAAGTGTGCGATATAGTTAAATAAGCTATAGTTTATTTGAGCGTCAGATAATCGGATCCGATAATCGTTTCAGACAATCGTATCGAATAGTAGGAAATGTGCGGCCGCTTTAAACCTAGCAACGTACCTGGGCACATCCGCTGGAAATCTGAAATAAACTAAAACTACAATAATTGTTTACACACATTTTACCACAATACAGCAACTTAAAATTCGCCATCTTTTTATTAGAAGAAGTTATGCCCCCAACGAAAATAACTCACACTTTATTATTCTATTATTAATGAACACGGTACGGTGCAATTTCTAATCACTAACTAATATGAAAAACTATACCATACCTACCTACATTTATTTTCGACAAACTCTGATTATATAATACATATTTATTTATTGTTTTTAACCTGTAACTATAAACTAATATTTTAATTTTTGAGTATAAAGCCATATATTTTTTTCAAGTAGTATACAGGGTGTTTCAAAAAACATGTGCCATCTCCCGTGGGGAGATTCCTCACGTAAAAATAGGATATATTTTTTATATTAACATATGGTGCGACATTCATATCAACATATGTGCGACAACATATATGGCTTTATTTCGTAGCTACAGGGTGTTAAAATCTTAATATTTTTTCGATTTATTTTATTTTTCTTCCAAGTATTTTTAGCATTTCGAATGAAATTTTGAGGATAGAAGTTACTATAAATGCGACATATTTTAAAGCTAAAAAAGTGTCGACATATTCACCAGGCACGTGCATATGGGTTATCACTGGAATATTTTTCTAAAAAAAGCATGTACGCCACTGACATTTTTTTCTCTTGTTAGCGGAATAGTGTAAGCAGTTGAAATGCCATTAAAAGTGGTCTCTTGATATTTTGTCGATTTCCGCCTCCTTATTTAGTGGCCTCCAAATTAGTAGGCGGCCTCCAATTTAGTAGCGGCCTCCAAATTAGTAGAGTTGACTAGCTCTCTATGAGTAAGCTGTGGCACGCTGTAGTTCAACTTCGTGGACCGATAGGAAGTCTGTCTTTTGACTTTACTGGACACAGTCCAGAAAAAATCAGATTATCACTAATAAAATGAAAAAATATTTTAAGTACCTACTGTCTGCTGGTTTGTGGCAGGTTCATTTCTTAAAATTTCCAGCATATCTCCATTCAAACAAACATTGAAAAATAAAATAATTTATATTGAAGAGCATTTTTCTGAAAACTTACAATGGCTATAATTTTTAAACCAAAAAAGATATCAAAAAATAAAAAATACCGTTTCTATAATATCGAGGGGGAATACATGACGTATTTTTTGAACCACCCCGACCTACCCCTTAGGAGGCACCCCTACTCACTTGAAAATCTTAAATGGCAACACCCCACTTGTGGCGTCTTTTTGGAAAGCTCATGAAAAATGCGATGATCATAAAGTTTTTAGGGTGAAATTGAAAAACTACCCTTACACGAACAATTAGGTGGACATTAATGAAAAAGGTGATTTTTTCAGCATAAGTTACAAATTGGGACCCAGCTAAATGACGCAAATGAAGTATTTTTCAAATCACCCCAACCCACCCCTAGATGACACCCCCTCACTTCTATCTCAAGATAGCGATACCCCACTTGTGACACTTCTTTGGAAAGCTAATTGAAATTGCTAAACGATGGTCATACAGACTTCAACTTAATTACTGGTTAGTGACAAGAAATGTACATAGGTGTGACAATTTGAAAGAAATTTAAAATGATAATTTATTTTAATAATTGCTCAAAATGACAGCCGTTTTGTTCCATACAAAAATACAAACGATTTTCAAATTCTTCTCTCACTTTTTGGAAAGCCTTACTCGGAATATTTCGACATGCTTCAGCTCTCCTCTGCCGCAATTCTTGCAACGAACCTGGTTTTGTCTTGTAGACTATGGATTTAGTGTAACCCCACAAGGAAAAGCCTAAAGGAGTGAGATCAGGTGACCTTGGCGGCCACTCGATTAGACCCCTTCTGCCAATCCATTGCCTTGGATAATATTTATCCAACCACCGCACAGTGCTTCGTCCCATGGACAAAAATCAAAAAATAAGTTAAAATTTACTAATATCTGAATATATAATTTTATACTTATAGCAATGTTCAACCATCCTGTATATTATTTTTCATAAACAGCGTTTTTGTTAGCAAATATTTTCACTAAAAATAAATTTTGCGATCATTATCTCATCAGTGAAAAGAATAACATTCATAGTAGTTCTGTATATTATGGAGTTAAACGGGTACGTACTTAATTGAAAGCCACTATGGATATTGTTAAACAAGGTATGTACTTTAAATTTATGTCTAAACAAGTTCGTGATTGTTTAGTTTTTATTTATTTTTAAGATGATTCTTAAATGGGTATAAAAATTTTACGTTTTCAAACTTCAAAAGGCATTTAAAAAAAACATATCAAAACATATCGTATTTATTGAATATTTTTGTTGCCATATTCATACACTTTTAATTTTTGTATAGTTCACCTGCGTCTGCTTGCGACAAACTTTATTTTATAATACTTTTCAGATGGAGTAAAATTGATAAGCAATGCCGATCTGGCTAATACTTGGCTTGATCATAAGGACAAGAACTCAAAATTATTTGTATTTCAAAAATATGTTCTTATTAGATATTGATGAACCTTCCAGTCAAATGAGACACCACTTGTACCTGAAAAAGTCCACTATGTTGGAGCGAAACGTCGCATAAAAAAAGTGACCATCTTTCAATTTATTATAAAATCTCATACCCAAGAAAAGGAAAAAATAATATATGGATATGGTCTATTAAAGAGGTAACTATTAACATCCGAACCCCTCATACCGACAAAATGAACAGTAACAACGCGAAAAAGTGACATATTAGAAAATGATGTACAGAAATATCTTATATGTGAGGATACTTCATCTACCTGTGATTTGGATACTATAAATTTGGAAGATTCTGTCAGCAGTGGTTCTCCTGAATCAGAGTAGTTACGATCTATGCATTTTGTTGTCCCTAAAGTAAATTTATAGTATCTTAAGTTTTTTTTTAATTAAATATAACATTAATGTTTCTTTTTCATTAAAGAAAAACATTTTTATCTTATATTAGGCGTATATTGTAGGAATCATGTTCTAATGTTATTTCAATTCTTTTTTATCACAGGAATTTATGTAATACTTACACCGTTTTCATACTATAACTTATTATTTGCTTAGATGGAACACAGCTCCAACATTATTATTATTTATAAGATTTTTTTTTCATAAACGTGGGACTAAGAACATCATCATTTAGTACAATGAGAGTACTCATCATTTGTGTCAAATAAACCTAGTTTGAATAAATTGCTTACAATAAAAGAGAAGTTTTGGATTTTTGTCCTCTAGAGCCATATGTTCGAAGCACTGTGCACCGCCTTGTGACAATAGAATAATGCGAAGGGGCTCCATCTTGCTGAAAGTGTATGAGGTCTTCATTAAGAGTTATAATAAATTTCTTTGTACCAGCTTTTTTTTCTCGCAATGGTTCATGGGGATACAAAAATAATTCATTCTATTGATTTTGACACGTTTTGACATTTTTGTTTTATTTTTAGGCTCTATTATTTCCGTTCTTTTTTATCATAGTCGTTCAGCATTTTTTATACGCTTTCCAAAGAGGTGTCAGAAGTGGGGTATCGCTATCTTGAGGTTAGAAGTGAGGGGGTGGCACCTAGGGGTGGGTCGGGGTAGCTTGAAAAAAACCTCATTTAGCTGGGTCCCAATTTGTAACTTATGCTGAAAAAATCACTTTTCTCATCAATGTCCACCTAATTTTTCTTGTAAGGGGTAGTTTTTCAATTTCACCCTAAAAACTTTATGATCATCGATTAAGCCAAATTGCCAAAGATTTTCAAGTGAAAATCTTAAATGGCAACACCCCACTTGTGGCGCCTTTTTGGAAAGCCCATGAAAAATGCTAATCGATGATCATAAAGTTTTTAGGGTGAAATTGAAAAACTAAAAAAAAAAAAAATTAAAAAAAATTAAAATAAAATTTTAGCGATTTTTAATAGTTGGTTGTGTGTAGTGAACTTTGTATAAACTTTATTACAATGGTAATTTGTTCAGCTTTCAAGTGTAAAAGGCGCAATGATAAGAAAGATCCAGGAGTTACGTTTTATAGGGAAATAAACAATCCACTACACCGTTTTAGCGTTTTTTTATTGAATTCGATAATTATTTTTCTGATATTATATGTACTTGATATGTGCTATACGTCGATACTAGTTCTGTACCTTTTGTTAACATTTTAATACGTTTTTTTTCGTAATTAATTAGTATGATACCACAGGACACACCAAAGGCGTAGTGAATATTTACCAAAAATATAAATATCGCTTCAAGCGGCTATGTTAAGAAAAATATGTGCCACGGCACTGTTTGGAAGAATGGTCACAGTTTGGTCTCGGTTGCTATTTGTCCTTGTATTCTTTAGTCATTGGAATTAACACTCTATGGAATTAACCTATATTTATAATCCTACCGACTGAAATCTATGTGTGGCTTTGTATTTTTATATAGATATATAGAAGAACAAAAATAATAAATATATATTTTGTAACAGCAAATGAGAAAAGAATCAGAAGTTATTTATAATATTCTCTATATTTTTTCAGATTACAAAAGAGTGGGAGGGAATAAAAAAGGCATTTTTACAAGAAACCGACAACCTAAATCGAGCGCTCATTTGCTGAGAAAAAGATACTGGTATTTAGCGAAAGAATACAACAACAATCTATCCTTGCCGGATGATCTCGAAAATTATATTATAGCGTCGAAGACGTTAGCAAAACAAGAACTATAATAAAATGTGATATTTATTACCTCAACCGAATTTAAATATTAATACAAATTTACGAGTTTAGAAAAAATACAGTCAAAATTATACATATACACGACTTTTATTTGAACTTGATTAACTCAGACTTAATTTTTCAATTGATTGATTATTCAGACAAAATATTTAATGTAGGTACCTAATCCTTGTATTTTTTACATATTTTCATAAGATTTGTGCATTTTTATCTAATCTCGGTAATCCTGTTTATTTAATTGTAGTGTTGAAATCAAAGATTTCTAGATTTCTACTTGTATACATATACCGAGACATATACTGACATTCTCAATTTAATTTTATAACTTAATACCAAACCTTAATAAAATTTCATGAAAAATCAGAGTTCCGTTAAATTAATCACGTAAATAGGTAAGTAATAGTAATATTTTTATAGTCTATTTTATAAATAATTAGCCTTTTTAGACATGCTTTCAAATTTTTGTTAGTCTTAAAATTCTAAAGACATAATAAAATACTTTCAGTTTATTTATTTCCATATAAGAAGATAAAGGCGTATCTGATATTTTCAAAAGAATCTGTTGTCAAAGATACCCTATAACCAGTAAAAGAACCTAAATGTTCCTCCATTAATCGAGACCATAATCAATTAATGACTCCATTATACCTACCTACTTTATTATTATTAATCTAGATTAATCATGATTCCTGTGTTTACAAGATTCAATAATAATGATAATTTCTTCTGACATCAACCAAATTCTTCCAAATCACTGATACTCTCTCGCACTTGGCCTTTCTTCAGTTGGATTGAAGAATCTAATTGAAGTGATTGAATCTTTGAAGAAGATTATAAATATTATTCCGATTGCTATTTACCAGAATTCGAAGTTCGAATAAGGTCTCCTCTTCTCTGCCATCCTTTAAACCGTCATTTGGAATAACTCCAGGTTAATTATAATATTTCATCATATCTGTGTTATTGATTCTTTAATTTCAGTCTTTAATTCTTTCAAAATATTTTCTCATTCCTTGCCTTTTTTATTCATATTTCCTTTCTCTATTATTACTTCTTTCGTAAATGAGTCGATTTTTCTCCAGATTTCGTTGGTGTTTATCATTGCCATGACTTCATGGTAATTTTTTTCGGTGTCAGAAGTTATTACCTACATCTGTAAATAAAACAGACTTTTCTTTTTTTCCATCTTGGATAGCATTTTCCATCTTGGTCTGCTTGGTATATCGGTTTCGTCGCAGCACATGCAGTTAATAGAGCATGAAAACCCCATGCCCAAAAAGAAACTGTGTAATTTCATAGTTCACGTCTTAAGCGGCGCGCAAACCAGAGCGGAGGCGGGCGCGGTGGCGGATGCGGTGGCGGATGCGGTGGCGTTGCGGACCGTATTGGTACATGTAACTAAATTGAAGAGAGCACACCACCGCGATCTGGCGAACGCGCCCGCCTTTTCTTGCAGCGAACTACCGCGTGGAACTTTGCGGACGGCGGTACAGTAGATTAGAACGCTGCATGCACCATTTGCCCGCCAGTTCGCACGATAGTTAACAAGTAGAATCACCCTAGTTATCATGTGTAATACAGAAAAAGTAAATTGAAAAAGTGTTTGTGCAACCAATTTTATATGATTTATCTAATAAAGCCAAGAGTAATAGTATATTGTTCTATTAGGAGTAAAAATGATACATTTTGTGGCGAGGTTATATGTTTGAAGCATAAAAATGCTTTACTTTTATGCCCAGGCGTTAAAATGGCGTTTTTATATTGTCAATCACGTCGTAAAAATTAATACTTCTGTGACGTTGGAAAAAAAAGATGTTTGTTCAATGTTCATTATTTGTAATAATCTTCTCTAAACGGTGCTGACACTGACCGCCAATTAGCTCTATTATCTATCACCGCGGACCGCGTTGGTGTGCGGATGTTCGCCATCGCATTGTGACCGCACCGCTGCCGCTTCCGCCACCGCGCCCGCTACCGCTCTGGTCTGCGCGCCGCTTTAGTGTTCTCTGTTCGTCCAGTTCTCTACGATGTAGTTTATCTTTCTAGACCACCTTCCCTTTTCAGAAAGATCCATTGCTCTTTTTATTTTGGGTAGCCAATTTTCTGTTGCCGTTCTTTCATCTTATCGGTAACACCCGCTTTAACATAGATCGTTTCTCGGCAATTAAGCGTAGAGGAGTCAACGCAGCTATAATCAACACGGCCTCTGTTGACATCATTTTACTCCGGGCGGATACAGTGGCAGATCTAGAGATTGACACTGGACATCTATATACAGATGTATATGGACATCATATTTAAGTAAAGTAGTAGATTTAAATTAAATCTACTCTGAATAGTAGGTATCATGACTGAATGAAAGGTATCATGACATGGATTGGTCTGGATTTTCTATTTTGGTTGGTATTATTAATTTAATAATACCAGCCTAATAATAACTTCTTCCTAGGAGGGGTAATTACCCATTATCCTTACCGTATATGCGCCCCTGGGCGGATAGCAATACATTTTTCGTCTGTTAATATTTCATTGCTTTACTTCATACAGAAGTTCAGTAAAAAATTATATTTTACATTAATATCGTAAGAAAATTTCCTTTTTTAAGGTGGTTCTTTATTTCTCCAGTTATGTTGTCACTTTCCACAAAAGTTCATTTGTTTGTAACATTCTCAATATCATCTGATCTTCCCATTCTCATGAATAGTACAATGCTGGTTGTGGGCAACACCTTTATATTAATCATTAGTAACTGTTCCTCTGAAAAGGCACAATCTTAGCTAACAATTTTAAAACTTTTAATATGAACAAACAAATTGGGTGATTGTACCGCAACCTTAAAGATGTATTGTGACCCCCTTTCTTGTGTTATTACTCATCATACAGTCTCAGGATCAGGTCAGTCTTTGTTGTCAACGCTAAAATTGCAGATTTTTGTTTAGTCTTAATCATCTGCTGATAGTGCTAACGTGGTTAGCGAAACGCGCGTCCAGTGTAAAAGTAAAAGTATTTTGGTGTATTGTAAAGATTTAGTCTTTTATTTAGCTGTGTAACACCAAAGGTTCCAACCCCCAACTGTAGCCTCAGGGCTTTGACAAAAGCCAGTATCTGAGCCGGTTTTACAGAGGTTAGTTCTCCACCTCCGATATTAGTGGTACCAAAGTTTATGACACAAATGGTTGCCGTCTCGCCGCACTCGGTGATGAGGTGTTCTGATGTTTACCCATTTTACCCATAGAACCTGCATTCGCCGTTGTGTCTTAAGTACTGAGGTGTTCAACTCTGAAGTGTACAAGGTAACTCCAATCTACTAAGGTGTTCATTGAGAAGACAATGTCCTGTTAAAACCACCGTGACAATCCCAAGATTAAATTAAGGAAAATCTTTGATTTTTCTCGGTCGTAAGTTCTGAGAAATTTCTTCGAGTGTGTCTTCGAGTCTTTCGTTTGTTTTTTCATTGGCTTCTATTCCTTAATGGTTTGGCACTCAGAGTAGGAGGACGTTATTTTGTTTGTCTAGTTTATTCAGCTTCTCTAGGTTTTCTTTGACCAACTTCGAATTGACGGTTATTGAGTTGAGCGTTTTTAATGTTTCTTGACTATCGGATAAGATGGCTATATTTATAAATAATACGAAAAATTGGGCTGTATTTGGATATTGATTTTTCCGTTAGAAATAAATTCAAATAAATGTCTGGAAAATTCATATTTATTATGATTGAAATGTACATTTAAAAAGAACCCAAAACAAAAAAAAAATAATAATAAATCTTTAATATTACCTATCGAATATTGAACAAAAAATAGTGAGTATATAGATGAATTCATTATTATACTGGTTCATCATCCGCTTGATTATTTATTTATTTAATTCGAGTTCGATCAACGTCCTCATTTGCATATTGATATTCTGAAAATATAAAGAAAAAAAAAAAACGATTGGAGACCTTCTACGAATTAATAATCATCAATAATGGTCTCTCTACGTATGTTTGTCTAATAGCGGACCCCTTTTGCATACCAAGGTGTTAATGGATTAATGTATGCAAACACCGAAAAATCACTCAAGCCCCCAGACAATATAAAACCAAAAAACATCCTAAAAGTAATTAAATACCTATGAGAATTTAAATCAATATTTGACTAATAAAGTTAGTGTATTTTTTTAAATGACGCTATATTTTGAAGCATTGACTTGCCAAATCTTTTGTTGCAGGCATTATAGTTTATAAATAGCCATGGAAGATTTTTGTTTTTGTTTCTTTCTGCTTTTCTTAGTTACAACGACCTCACACCTTTTGTACGGTCAAATATACATTCTACCTGTAAAGGGTGCTATTGAAAAAAGCTAATGATATGGAGATAACGACAATACCCAATGCCTACTAAGGTGTTCGATTTCCCAACAGGATTCCTGAAGCCATGTTTATTTTGCTTCTTTAATTCTTTTGCCAGTTACCCGATGCATTCGTATGTACTGGGCATAATCATTGTTCTTATATTTTCTTCGTTCTTCCATGAGGTCTAAAGTTTCTTGCGTCATCCACTTCTTTCGTGCTTTTGTTTTTTTTTTGGGTTTAATTATTATTCCATCTAGCGTGTGGTGCATCGTAACACGGGACATAGGAAATCCAATGTAAATTTTGAAAAGGTCAAATATTATCTCCACAGATGATTTTATGCAAAAATTTTATTAGACTTACTTGAAGAGGCATTAAGGTTCTACTTAGGGAATGCAATCCCGCACCAAAATCTCATCCCGCAAACCCGCGGGATTAAAGCAATCAATCCCGCGGATCCGCAAAATTGCCGGATTGTAAACAATAAATGCTCTTCTTTTCTCTCTCCTATTTTGGGATGCGGTTTGGACCAGGTTTTAGACGCATCTATTGTGATTAAGATGCTATGTGGTTTTCGAAAATATATTTAGCGGATTCTCGTATACAGAGTGTTATAATAGTGTACAAATTTGGTCAAAAAATTTTTCTACCGAAAATTTACAATTTTTGAAAAATTTTTGGTCTTTTTTTTTAATTTTTTGTTTTAAGGAATTTTTTTTCGAAAAATATGCATTTATAGTC